CCCATTCTTAAGAAAAGTATCTAAAGCATACCCCAAAAAAAAGGAGGGAGAGAGAGAGGGAGGGAGGGAGAGGGAGAGAGAGGGAGGGAGAGAGAGAGAGAGAGAGAGAGAGAGAGAGAAAGAGAGAGAGAGAGAGAGAGAGCTTACAGCTCACTGGTGAAAGGAGTAAGAGTCAAACGCAGATGTTTCTACCTTAACCACGCTCCCCTGCAAGTTTTCTCAATCTTATTTGGCGCACTAGGGTGGAAAGTAGGCTTCTGCCATTTCCTGGTGCTTGGTGATCAAGAGGGTCCCTTCACTTCCTCACAGGGCTACCAGATCCCCAAAGGCTGGAGCGTGATGTATAGCATCCGAGACACGCACGAGACAGCAGCGGTGTACCGTAGCCCGCCCGAGGGCTTCGATCCGGAGCGCTTCGGTGCAGAGGATGAAGATGCACGCACCTCCTGCCGCCGCTACCACTACATCCCGTTCGGTGGCGGCCCACGCAGCTGCCTAGGCCAGGAGCTAGCGCAGGCGGTCCTGCAGCTGCTCGCTGTGGAACTGGTGCGCAACGCGCGCTGGGAGCTGGCCACGCCCGCCTTCCCGGTCATGCAGACTGTGCCCATCGTGCATCCGGTGGATGGGCTGCGACTTTTTTTCCACCCGCTGACGACTTTGGGCTCAGGGGATAAGCTACTACTCTGACCCTCCACACCCTTAGCCTTAGCTTACCCAGTGGCAGCTGCGCACACGCAGCCCGGCCCCTCCGAGGTGCCCCAGGTCCTCACCATGGACTCATTTACTTGGTCACCCAATTGACAAACTTTCACTAAACACAGGAACTGGGAGGAGTAGAAGTGTGAGCCACAGAGCCCACTAGAAAAGCGCGCCCGGTGGAAGGAACCTCCTGCGCTCTCGGCACCTTAAGCACTTCCCAGGTTCTAAAAAGCAAAGATGGAGACCACCTGTCTTCAATAGGTGCCACCTGGCTTCAGCTTCCTGTAGTAAGCCCGGGAGGGCGCTTGGAAATGGGGCCCTGAAGGTGGTGGTAGTGTTGTACTTATCAAACCAGAGACTGAGCGAACCTGCAACTTTTTTGAGTTAAATTGGTTTCTCTACAGGTCTTGGCTGATGGTTGAAACTATGACCACTTCCACTTTAACTGACTCAGCACCACCAGGCTCTGCTAAAGACTTCTGGAAAGAAAAAATTCCTACTTCAAAACCTCATTTTATCTTCTTTGTACAGAAGAGAATATGCACTTGGAGATGTCTCTAAGGCTGGTGGTTCACTGGAGGTAGAGACATAGCCCCTCCATGGGAGATTGAGATAATAAGAGAGGTTCAAGATATTTGTATCAAAAAAGGAAGGCCAAGGAAAAAAATTTCTTGCCAGCAGTTGAGTCAGGACTGGCTTAGTGGGCAGCTGTTCCCTGGCATGATGGCCAGGGGTGGAGAGGGTGGGGCGCAGGGACATATCTGAAGGTCCCACTCCAGCCTATACCCAGAGAGGGGCTGGAAGCTGGGCAGCCCTACCAGATCATAAATCTGGATGCTGGGCTGTGAATTCTCTGCATCAGCTGCCCAAGCATCTTTCTGATTACTGCTTCACTATCCTCTATTCCAGAGGAGAAACTGAGGATCAAGAGACCACTGACCCTCCTGAGGAACCAGTGCTCTCCTGCATCCCTTCTTCCATCACCCAACCCTCCTGCCCCACTCTGAACCCGCACCACCTTGTAGGACTCAGTCCTTTTCACCGCTGTTCTCAGCTATCTTAAGGACCCCTTTGCCTTTGCAATCCAGAGGGTCCCATCAAAGCCAGGAGCCTCTTGCCATTATTCCCAACAGTCCACTTCAGCCTGCCACCCATGTTGCCACAAGCCTGGGCAAGAAGACATAACTGGTGAGCCAGGGAAGCTGCAACCTGGCATGGGTTGACCCTGTAGCCAATCAGAAAGAAGTCTATAGCCTCCTGACCTTGTGCTTATTTGGATCATGGGGCCTGAAGGGAAGTGGGGCACAGCAGATAACCTGCAAGTTGGCAATGGGACTAACAGGACTCTAACTCCCACAGAGAGCAGGTCATCAGTCATAGCAGGTGGCAGAGCATGGACCAGGCCCTGAGCTCTGCAGGCACCAGAGGCAGCAAAGGCGGCAGGGGCACAGGCCTACCCTGTGGGTGCTGTTGACAACATTAAGGACTTGAGTGTCTGAGAAAACTGGATCTGGGTGAGAAGGCAGAAAGACCCTGCTTCAAGGTTGATTCTGATTTGGGAATAAAAGAAAATCATGTCAGGGGCTCTTTCAGAAGTCAGGACAGTCAAACTGCTTCCAAGAGATGTGTCTCCTTGCTCTGGGTCTGGACCAACTGCAAGCACAGGACAGTAACTCCAGTTTTCCTCTCATTTCTTACGCAGCATAATGGTATCATGGTAGCAGCAGAAGGGAATTGTGGGCTTCTGGTTTAGTAGCTCCAAGTTCTGTAGGGAAAAGAGCAGATGAGGTTCTTGACCTTTGTACTTCATATGTTCATAGATAGAGACAATAAATAAACTAGCAAACAGAGTAAGGACGTCCAGTGGTGGTAAGTGCTGCGAAGAAACTAAAAAAACAGGCCTTTAACTTAGAATGACTGACTGAATAGGGCTGGTAGGGGGAGGTCTCACCGAAGTGACACTGGAAAGAATCTGTCTACCTTGGCTGGGCACCCCACACGAAGGAACCCTGAGACCCAAGTGTTCTGGGGAAAGTGAGAGGGCTGAAGGGGAAAACTGAGGAGGGGGCACTTGGCTGCCCTAGTTGTCTGATTTCTCCATATTTGGGGTCCTCACCCCTCTCCGCTAGCAAAAACAAAACAAAACACAACCCCAACAAACCTGACTCCCCACTTGCAGTTCCTGGGAAAGAAGAAAGCTGTTTTGCAAACTGTTGGTTTTTAGTAAGCCAACACCCCCCTCCCCGCCCACCACCACCGAAGAAAGTTCGTCGACTGTCCTAGATCAAAGTTCTGTGTTGGGCCGGTAATTTATTGACCCCCCTCCCCCCTTTTCAAGATGTTTTAAAAATGATCTTTCATTTTCACATTTAATGTTTTTCTCCGGGCATCCTGCGAATCTTGATGGTCAGTTAGATGATTTTTTTTTTTTTTAAAGTACTCGTTTTCCCTGTTGCAATTTCCAGCGCGCCGACACTGCTCATCTTGTGACCCGGCGCGCGCTGAACTTGGTGGGGTGGCCCCACAGAGTTCACTGGGATGTCACGGTCCGGCCTGCAGGGGTCACAGGCGGGTCAGGCTGGAGGATTGGGAATGGGCCCCAGGTCACGCCCCCGTTGGCCGCTTTGCACACCAGCCGGAGGCGCTCTCCAGAAAGGGGCGGGCCGAGATTTCTGAGAATTACCTCCAGCACCATTCACCCGGGTTCCAGCCTATGCCCGAAGCTGGCTCACATTCTTTACAGTATTCTTTACAAGATATGACAGAGGGAGAGATGGCTTCACCAGAGCCCCTAAAACGCGGGACAGGGTGATGGGGAACGGCTAATTCCCCGGGAAATGCAGCGCGGCAAGCTACTAGATCTGCGCGGGTCCTCACGTCCTTCGCAGATATTTCTTGACCTCCTGTCCTGGAGTCTGGTGACCACCGTAGGAGGACCACATATTGACCCACTGTCACCAGGAAAGTGTACCACCTTCAAGGACGGTTCTCCGGAGTGCGGGGGTGTTTTTGCTAGAATCCGAGTTCAGTTCTAAACAAACATACGTCTTTCGTTTTGCTTCCCGCGCCGCTGCTGGTGCATTCAGTGTCTAAGCCTAGGCCGTGTACGTCACCCTCTGGCTGAAGCGGTGTGGCGTGAGGACTTGGGAAGGCCGGAGCGTTGGTGCGCAACGCGCAGTTCCCCGAGTTCGGTGCTGACTGCACGAGCAGCGGATTGAAGTTGGGCAAAATCCAGGGGACTCGAGCCCCAGTACTGATTCTCTCAGTAACGGGGGCAGAAGCGTTAGTTAAGGGTCCTTGGCTTTACTTTGGGTGGGAACTGGGAGACCTGAGGGAGGTTCTAGAGCCCTGCCGCCAGGCCACCCTGGTAATGCAGCTCTCTTTGGGACCGTCCCTGAAATGTAGACAGTGGGAATGATGTTCTAAGGAAGGGGAACCGGGCACTGATAACTTGCTCAAAGTCAGGCAAGCCGGGATGGACCCGGACTCCATCACCCTCCGGGTATCGTGCCTGGGCTGAAGGCCCTTTTCTCAACTTGCCCGGAGGGGCTGGAATTGCGCTGGGCTGGAGGGATTCCCACAGCTGGGCGTTGACTGTCCAGCCGCAGGTCTCTTCAGTCGGCCATTGCGGTGTCAGAGATCTGGCTTGCACCTGGAGTCCGAGAGACCTGGAGACTTACTTGAATGGAACCTTAAAGTAGGAGTTTCCAACACTTCCTGTGCTGGCTCCCTTGTGGGCATTGGGGATTCGCTGGTTATACTTCATTTGGATCTTCTTGGGGGTCTCGTTAGGAAGCCAGAGTTTTGCTTCGCGTTTGGGGATCTCATTTACCCAACCTGTGGGACCAGCCCACTGAATGGCGGTTCCTGAACGCACTCCCCATTGCAAAAGCAAAGGAGCCGGCGCAGCGCCTGTAAATGTAAACGCCAAGCAGGCGGCTTGGGCAGGGGCAACCGGTCAGACCCGGCGTGAGGGTCTCCAAAGAGACACCTTCCAAAGGAAGCCCGGGACTCCGAATTCCCGCTTCTCGGAACCCGGAGCCGCCCAGCCACTCCCTGCACCGCTCCCCCGCAGACTCCGAGCTCCGCACACCTAGGATGAGGGAGGCGGTGCTCCTTAACCCCGCACCCCTGGACGTGCGCTCCGTGGGAAGCCGCCAGCGCGCCGCCTCTTGCCTTGGCGCGGAACAAACGGTTAAAGATTTTGGGCAGCGCCTCGTGGGGGGGAGGAGCTAGGGGCCCAATCTGCAATTAAAGATGAACTTTGGGTGAACTAATTTGTCTGACCAAGGTAACGTGGGCAGCAACCTGGACCGCCTATAAAAACGGCGCGCGACGGGATTTGAAGAGCTGGCGGCAGCAGGTGGCGCGGGAGGCTGCGGCGTGCCATGGGGCTCCTGGCGCTGCTGGCCAGTGCGCTCTGCACCTTCGTGCTGCCGCTGCTGCTCTTCCTTGCGGCTATCAAGCTCTGGGACCTGTACTGTGTGAGCAGCCGTGACCGCAGCTGCGCTCTCCCCTTGCCCCCCGGGACTATGGGCTTCCCATTCTTTGGGGAAACGTTGCAGATGGTGCTGCAGGTAAGGGAGGTCGGGGGTGGTGGGGGGACGTGACGCTTCCTAGGAGTCGGATTCGACTCTGGGCCTGGGAGGAAGCTGGGGAGGGAGGCGACTGCGGCTAGAAGAGGGGACTAGACCGACGCTCCCCGGCGCCCCCTCACGCTGGTCGCCGGTCTCTCTCCTCCACCTCCTTAGCGGAGGAAGTTCCTGCAGATGAAGCGTAGGAAATACGGTTTCATCTACAAGACACATCTGTTTGGGCGGCCCACTGTGCGGGTGATGGGCGCGGATAACGTACGGCGCATCTTGCTGGGAGAGCACCGGCTGGTATCGGTCCACTGGCCGGCGTCGGTGCGCACCATCCTGGGCGCCGGCTGCCTCTCCAACCTACACGATTCCTCTCACAAGCAGCGCAAAAAGGTGAGGGCGGGGTGGCAACACCTTGGCTGGCAGGGGGACCCCAGAGTTTGGCGTGGTTCGGACAAATAGATGCAGGGTGAGATGTGTGCTAGACGAACCCTCTCCAAGCTCCAAGTTTAGCTCTCCTCGCCTGGATGTGCATTAGGTCTGGAGGCACTGGGGTATGTAGAAGGGGGACCCAGGAAGGCGAGAGGGATGGATAGAGGACTGTAAGGCTCTCTGCTCCTCCGGCGCTCAGGTGATTATGCAGGCCTTCAGCCGCGAGGCACTCCAGTGCTATGTGCCGGTGATCGCTGAGGAAGTGGGCAGTTGTCTGGAGCAGTGGCTAAGCTGCGGCGAGCGCGGCCTCCTGGTCTACCCGGAGGTGAAGCGCCTCATGTTCCGCATCGCTATGCGCATCCTGCTGGGCTGCGAGCCCGGCCCGGCGGGCTGCGGGGAGGATGAACAGCAGCTCGTGGAGGCCTTCGAGGAGATGACCCGCAATCTCTTCTCGCTCCCCATCGACGTTCCCTTCAGCGGCCTGTACCGGGTGAGGACTGCTTGCGGGGTGCGGAGCTAGGGGCGCGGGAGCCGGGCATCCGCTCACCTCCAGCTCTCTGCGCTTAGGGCGTGAAGGCTCGAAACCTCATTCACGCGCGCATCGAGGAGAACATTCGCGCCAAGATCCACCGGCTGCGGGCGGCAGAGTCGGGTGGGGGCTGCAAAGACGCGCTGCAGCTCTTGATTGAGCACTCTTGGGAGAGGGGAGAGAGGCTGGATATGCAGGTGAGTGTCAGTTTCAAAAGGGACACTGCTACAGTGGGTCTCTGGCTTTCCAAGCGCACTTCTTGGGGCCCCCAAAGCGCAGCCTGAGCCCCTAACTTTTCGGAGTGGGCGCCCTGCCGGGACTCCACCGGAAGGATCCTGAAAATAGACACTGCGTCAGGACTGCGTCAGGGTGGCCGCCCAACTGGGAAGGCCCCTAGGTTCAAAGGGAAATTCTGATTTGCAAGTGTTAAAAGTACTTTGGGAGATATTAATAAAATCAAGGCTTCAACTCAGTAGGTAGAGTGGGATCTTTTTGTCTTCCTTCTGTATTTGTATTCTCTGATTTTCTACGCTCAAAACTTTTACTCTTGTAGTTTCTCTCCACTATCCTCAGTGCGGTTATAAAAGTTATAGACTTATAAAGTCTTTCCTCCGCTGTTAGGCACTAAAGCAGTCTTCAACTGAGCTCCTCTTTGGTGGACATGAAACTACAGCCAGTGCGGCAACATCGCTGATCACTTACCTGGGGCTCTACCCACATGTTCTCCAGAAAGTTCGAGAAGAGATGAAGAGTAAGGTAGGCGGATTCTAGGGGCTCCCTGTTAGCCTAGGACATCCTGTTATCCTCTACCACTTCCCAGTAAATAAGTATGCAGCCTTCACTTGGTGCCTTGAAAGTGCTGGGCCCTGCTAGGCAGGACTGTGGGGAAGAGAATCAACCTTGTGAATTTAAAACGCTGTGATCTTACTTGGGCAGTTTGACCTTGTGTTCCTGCCCCTCCTCCACCTTTTGCAGAACTGTGGAGATTTCCCGGTAGTTCTATTTTTCTTGGGTATGCACAGTTAAGAACATGAATAGTACAGCTGGAGCCAATAGCTGATCAGGGTGGGCAGTTTTGGTGAGGGGGCAGGGCTTGACCCTTATAACCTTGTGAACAACATTCCTTGGAAGCGAAAATAGGTGGTGGGTTTGGGCTGAGCAAGAGTAGAAGCAAATGGTCATTAGCTGCCATTTTTCCCTCATTCTCTCCCAGCTGTGAAGGCCTTTGGATTTAGATGCCACTTAAGTCCTGTTGACGTCTGTTGGGCTGATTTTATGGGAAGCACCACAACCATTCACCTCTGTATGACTGTTTTGATAGGGCTTACTTTGCAAGAGCTATCAAGACAACAAGCTGGACATGGAGACTCTGGAACAACTTAAATACACTGGGTGCGTTATAAAGGAGACTCTTCGACTGAATCCCCCAGTTCCAGGAGGGTTTAGAGTTGCTCTAAAGACTTTTGAATTAAATGTGAGTTTTCCTCCCATCTCCCACCTCACCTTATCCCCTTTGATGTGGTTTTCAGCCTACCCTTGCTTCCCTGAGTAATGCCTTGAAATTCTTAATGTTTTTGATATTATTGTCCTGCCCTATGTGGATGCATATTTCAGGAATCCAAATCAAGAACGCTTCCCTTCTCTCCCTTGTCCTCCTTTCCTAACACCCCCAGTCATATCGGTGATGACATTTTGTTGTTGGAGGTTGAGTTCCAATTTGTCAATACTTAGGGCTTCATTATCTTTTACAGGGATACCAGATTCCCAAGGGCTGGAATGTTATTTACAGTATCTGTGATACTCATGATGTGGCAGATGTCTTCACTAACAAGGAGGAATTTAATCCTGACCGGTTTATACTGCCTCCCCCTGAGGATGCATCCAGGTTCAGCTTTATTCCGTTCGGAGGAGGCCTTCGGAGCTGTGTAGGCAAAGAGTTTGCAAAGATTCTCCTCAAGATATTTACAGTGGAGTTGGCTAGGCATTGTAACTGGCAGCTTCTAAATGGACCTCCTACAATGAAAACCAGTCCCACTGTGCATCCTGTGGACAATCTCCCTGCAAGATTCACCCACTTCCGGGGAGAAATTTGATGGACTTATTTGAAGTGTACATGATTTTTTTTAATAGTGTTGTGCTGACTTTATTTAATTTCTAAATGTATAGTATAATATTTATGTGTCTCTACTACAGTACCATAGTCTTTAAATATTAAAATAATGAATTTGTACTATTTCCAAATAAAGTAAAAATTGAAAGTGGGTGTTTTTTGTTTGTTTGTTTTTGTTTTCATTTAAGATTCCTATTGGAATGTTGGACATGGTGCTATGCAGCTATAATCCCAGTACTTGGGAGGGGGAGGCAGGAAGATCAGGTGTTCAAGGGCAGCCTGGGCTATAGGGACTCTGACTCAAAGGAACAAAACAAAGCAGAAAAAGGTTCCTGTTTAAAAAAAAAAATCTAAACTGTAATGTTTGTACTTTATGTATTCAATAAGATTTAGAGCAAAACTATAGTTTTCCTCCTTGCTGTTAGGGGAAAAAATTTTA